GTTTATTTGCGATTTCGCCACTGCCATATGTTTTCGTAAGTTTACCCAAAAATGTCCGTCGCTTTCTTTGTTTTCTTCAGAAAACGGGTATGCGAAACAAAGGCTGCGAGCCAAACGGCAACGCTGGATGCTTCAGTTGTATGTATGTAAATTGCATTTGCTTATCCTCAAATGATTTATACATATTCCCATATCACGCTCACTCTTTACATACGTGTTTTATGGTAGACTTAAAGTACTTGAGGTGTCCCATGAACGACCCTCAAAGAAAATCGTACTTTTTTGTCAATGGTAATAGAATTGCTTGAATAGATAATACATTTAATATGAACTTGTACTAAAAGTAGTATTCTGACTATACTTCTGATATTTCCCTTGAAAAGTTTAGGTTTATGTGTTTTACATAAATCATATGTGAGAAATAAGTAAGACACATTTTGCTGATAACGTTTTCATGCTTCTGCGTATATTTCCAGATCATGCCGCGCATCGTTTCCAGGAGAGGTGGCTTTCCACACACACGCACACACAAACACACACACACACGCACGCACAAACACACACACACGCACGCACAAACGCCACACACACCACGCACAAAACTCACACGCACGCAACGCAACACACACACGCACACGCACGCACACACAACACGCACACACACACGCAACACACACACAACACGCACACACACCACACACACACAACACACACACACGCACGCACGCACAAACACACACACGCAGCACACAACACACACGTACGCACCACACCACGCACGCAAAACACACACACGCACGCACAAACACACACACACGCACAAACACACACACGCAACGCACGCGCAAACACACACACACACACGAACACACACGCACGCACAAACACACGCACGCACGCACGCACGCACGCACATGCGTGCATATACACGCACATCCATATGCACATGCACATACACACGCATACACATGTATACATGCATATGTACCAAAACAATCTTTTAATTTCAGTCTTTGTTTCTTCCATTAGGTATGCCATTAGTAGTAGACCGATATAACTGGCCTCAAGTACCATACGACATGAGGCAGCATGTGTCCCTGGAGGAGAGGCAGCGGGCAACCAGCAGCAGGCAAGAGAGGGCCACCCCCAAGGAGCACCGCGGCGCAGCTGAGGAGCAAAGGGGTTTCCCTAGTGCTGTGCAGCATGCAACCTGCTTTTCATTGTTTTTAGCGGAGCACAACTTGCCGTTCAGTTAATATATACTCCAAATTAAAGTGCTGTGCAATTCACTAATAGTATTATTATTATTTTTTGTATACATTGGAGAAATTTGATATTTCAAATGCGTTTACCATAAAATATTTTTGGTACATACTGATTATTCTGTTTAAATGATTATTTTTCCATCTTTTCAGTCTTTGCGATGACCTGGAGCTGAAGCGGAAAATGCTCCTTGATTCGACCATCGCAGCACAGATGGCCCTTAAAATGAAATGTTCCCAACTAACGAAAGTTACGTCTGACTATTGATGAGACGACCGACTGCACCAAAGACAAAGCATGTGCCTTAGTTGTCAAGTATTTTGAGAAAGAAACCACAATTAAGACGGCCATGCTAGACATCATCAGTTTATATGAGGGGAATGATGGGTCGTCATGCGTCTCTTATTTAACTGTATAACGAGAACCCTGAATACCTACCAAATTTCTGACAAATATGGTCGGCGTTGCTGCTGACGGGGCATCAAATGTCATTGGTGCTGTAAATTCTGTGAGCAGCAGACTAAAAGCACATGTGCCTGGGATTACAATTTTTAAGTGTATAGCTCACAGTATACATATATGTAGCAGCTAAGCAGCCAAAACGCTTCCCCTAACCGAAGGATTGATACGAAATGTGTACACCTTTTCCTGCTATAGCACAAAGAGAAAATACATCCTTAAGGAGTATCAAATATTATGTGAGGCCTAGCCTCACAAAATTTTGCATTCATGTGCAACAAGGTGGCTTTCCTTAACACACGCTGTGGAACGAATACTAAAACAGTGGCAGCCATTTAAACTCTGCTTTAATGGTTTTAGGCTTGAGGGAAAATTATCGTCAATTGGCAGAATTTGTGAGGCCCTGGATAGTCAAGGCATTTATTGCTATTTAAAATGTTTAAATTACACTTTGCCACATGACATTGTAACAAAATTATATCTGGTTACTGAATTATTTCCGCTAGTCATCAAATTACAGAAAATGAAACTCCACGAAATAGGCCCTGTAAACCAAGCAATTCATGTACCCAGATAAATTTGTATAGGGGAGGATGTGCACAGTCTCTTTCAAACATCAGACAATTTAAAAAAAAAGAAACTGGAGAACCTTCTTAATAAGAGTGTACCAACAGATGAGAAAACGGTTCGACTTGAACAATTCATTATGGTTAATGGCTACCTACTTACAACCAAAGAACACAATGAATCCGAATCTCAGACCTACTGTCCGATCTTT